GAGAGAGAGAGAGAAAGCATTATTTATTGTTCGCGCTTTGCGATGTAATCGTCTTAAGCGAAAGGAAGAAAGAAAGAGAGGGAATTGTTGGGATATCTGCTGCAATCTCTCTCGATTGCACCAACGATCGGATGCTCTTCTCTCGATGGCGAAGCGAGTGAATGGACCCTTCGGTAGCTATGGAGTCTTCCCGTGAACGCGAGGTTAGCAGAGCAAAAAGAAAATATAGTTCAGGCTGCCAGTTGCATAATATAACTAAGGCACGTCGCAATGTCGTTCTCGTGCGAATTGCTTTACGGCTCCTCCTCGTCATCATCGTTGATCTTTGGAGAACATTAGGCATAACACTCCTTGATATACGCCAAGGGGTGCAGTCATGGAGGACCTTGCAACGTGGTCAGACACAGACACACACTTCCAAAGTTGGTTCCGGATTCTGCATAGAGAACGCGATAATTATATGAATTTGTTTCAATACGTACATGGATAGTGACACCAAACAAACAATGCAAATATATGTTTCCCGAAATAATATGTAATGCTAAATGAAATTTGTAATGTACAAGATTGCGCGTAGATATGATAATTTGTATAAATGTTACAATGTATAAAAATTAATTGATTTTATAAATTTGGTAAATTAAAAACTGCATTACATTTTGTAATTATATATTGTATATCATTTTCCAATATTTATATATATAAATATAAGTTCCTGATTTCTTCAGATTACTTAAATATTTAAAGTGTTGGATGAATTTTATTTAGATACTAACTAATAAACTAATGATAATATTGCAAAAATTTATGATGTTGCTTTAGCAACCAATTTAAACATTCAATCTAAATATTTTGATTTTGTATCTAAAAATAATTTTATTGGATCATCAAATCATTCTTCATTCTTTTAGATACTTCAATAACTGTTCTTTTTCTGTGCGATTAAATATATTGTTTCTTTTTGTAAGCAAGTACTGCTAATTAACAATGGCTTTTTAAATGCTGTCATGGCAACACGCGCACGACAGCTTGTCGGAATTCTTCAAACAATATTGTGGCAGGGAACAATCAATTGATCGACAGATCGAGCTTTTTAGCTGTACAGCAATTATATTGTATTGACGTACGATGTATTGTAATCGCAACGAGGACTAATTAACTATTCGTGCCGCACTTTCGATATCTCCATCAACACAGAACTTTCGCCACAATCATTAGCAAATAGTTCGCTGTGAAGACTTCATTGATCACAAACCGGTTCCACGATTGCTGACTGATCTGAAAAATTGACATTAAGTAGAAACGCAATATAAGCAAGAGGATAGTGATATAATCTTATTAGTTATAAGTTAAACCGATTGTTTTGCATAATATTGTAGATACAACTGCTTTTTCACAACTACCAAAATAGATACAAAATATCTAACAATTTAAAGAGGTATAATATAAACGATTAAATCGACGCTTCCCAGCTTGAATATTTAATAAAAAAATAAAAAGTGTAACACTTAATTCAGTGCCTTTATCCTGTAACTTTAAATATATGTGTGATAAGATATGTGATATATATATATTACAAATTTTGCACAGACAAAATATGTCATAAAATAGCTGTGCAATCATGCATAAACTATGAAATTGTTGTTACAAGTTATAAAATAAGGAAGTATATAAGATTTGTAGTTTTACTTAGTTACCGATAAATGTCGATATTCACGTATTGCCTTTTCTATTTTTCATTTCGTAGTTGTCTTTTCGTGATAAATATTTTTCAAGTTAATTTAAGATTATTATAAGTTTTTCATGTATATCAATGTTTAAAAAAATGTTATATCAATATTATTACTTTCAATTATTTATTTTATAATAATTATAAATGTAAATATACATAATAATATACTATATACTATTTAAAATAAAATAATATACATATGTTCTAAATATAAAAATATATATACATACACACACATGCTAAAAATTCATAACGATCGATTTCACTTTGGATCAATTTTGTCCATGAAGATCAATCATCGTACACCAAAATGATAGCTATGAAGTGAGGAGTAGGAAAAATAATAAGTGTAAATGTCGACATAAGTGTAAATGTTTACTTAAGAAAAACTATAAATCCTGAACAGTATTGATTCATATGCAAAACCAATATAAAACGAACAAAAACCTGAGTACCTTCTTTCGATTAGCAAATTCCATGAAATTGCCGGTGATGCAAAATTGCTGCGATTACCCGTTTTAAACGCCATCTTCGCGTCGCATGTGGAACCCGCACAAGGAGCAACATTTATCGAATGATTCAAATCTCATCGAGACGCGAGGAGCTGGGCATAGCTCGCTGGCCGTTTCGGAAACCGTTATTGCGAGTCGACGCCTCGTCGCGGCTCGTATTTCCCACGCGAATAAAGAGGAATTACGGCGAAATGGCGGAGGATGAGGAAGCAGATTGCCCGAACAACGCGCGGCTGTTCCGAATCGCCGTTTCCAACAACCTGAGGAACATAGCTGAATCCGTGAGGTGAGTAACGTGGGCCTGAAAAGCGCGGACGCGTGTGTCTATCTCTTCGTCATTTTCGCGCGCAATTTCGCGCGCGCATAACTTAACCTCTCTTATTCTCATATTATTTGTATCTCCTTCCCGTTAGAAGTTGATAAGCCGAATCAAAGCGAATGACTTCACCGTCATTTTTGGCGGTCTCTTCATAAATTTTTTGTTTCATTAGAAAGAAAAATGTTGCGAAGAAAGATGTGCCGTCAGTTTTTGTTGTCTCAATTGATTTATGGTTGATTATTATATGTTTGTTTCTTCTTTGACTGAGGGGAAAAATTAGGTTTTCATGTTTTATCTGACTGTGAACATAAATTGTGATTCGTATATATCGATGCAATAACTGTACTGTTATCAAAAGTGTGTCAAATACGTCACGTGATTAAGAAAGTTTCTCAAATCCAAATGTCTCGTTGATCTCGTTTATGGTTTTTAAGATTTCTAATTATTTTTATTTCTTTTTGTGGAAGTGCTAATATAATAAAGAAATAATTATAAGATTCTTAGTAATAATTTTAATATTAACTAAATAATGGGAGAAAAGGGATTAAGTTTAAAAAAATGTAGAGAGGACATTTATATTCTTTGTGTGAGATCTGTAATGAATTCTTTGTTTAGGTTAAAATAATAATTTTAAAATAATAATTTTCATAATAGTTTAGTTTTAAATAATTAAATTACAATATTTCATTCATTATACATGTGTATGTATAAAGGAGATTGAGGTTCAAGTAAACAGGAGCAAGAAAAAATGTTACAAATAAGATATAAAAACAAAAAAGAGAGATAGAAATTTATACTAGCTAATAGCCATTATAAACTTTTATCTCTTTACATTTTTATATGATTTGTTTATAACATTTTTTATATAGATGTTACAATTTGCTGCTATCTGTTACTTTCAACCCTAATTTCCCCTATATGCTGCATATGCTAATTAAAAAGTGTAAACATTTATTTACAAATATTCTAATATCAATCTAGAATTTTGTAAAAAATATTGTTAGAAATAATGTTCAAATTTAATATTAAATACGGTATTACATGTTTTTCTAATAAGAAAAATTTTTTAAGTTTTGTTGAACCATTTATGATATATACATTTATATGACATATTAATTACTGTATAATGAAAAGGATATTCCAAAGCTTATTATAGAAATACTTTGTTTAAATTCGATCAAACAATGTAAGTTTTCATATATATTTAAAATTCATAGTATTTTATATAAATAAAATAAATACGAAAGATCTTATGAGACAAATGTTCTCTACCTTATCTATTCATCTTTTACGAAAAGTCGATTTGTGATTTATTGACAAGGTGAGATAGAGTCAAGTGGAAAATACATATGTATATGTGTGTATGTATGGAAGGGATCGGCATCGTCAATGACCTAAACGTTACTCGGTGTTACTCGATGTCATTGGCCTCCGTGGTTCGCATGTTAATTCGCCGTGGTCGCTCATATGGCCGTCATATGCCAGCGATCGTCACCGAGGCCCTTGTGCCGATCTATTAAATCGGCGATCCCTCTCGGTCTCGCTTCTAGGAAAGCCTCCTTCACGTCTCGGATCCACCAGGCGCACCAGTTGACCTTCGAGGAATTCTACGAAGTGTTCGGGGAAACAAAGGCCTCCCGCCACGGTGACCGGCGGCCGAAGCGACGGTCATTCGTGTGTTGCGTGTCGCGGGAATCGTGCACGCACGCACGCACGCATGCACGCACGCACGAGTGCGTATGTTCGTCGTATTCCGTAGCACACATTTAATTCCTTTCATCATTCAAACGCCGCAGATTTTTCATTCGTCTTTGGTGGACCGTCGTTTTTAGCGGACACAACGCTAAAAATGTCATAAAATTGTAGGAAAAGATTTTCCGTATATGTAAAATGTTTAATACCTGCGTTAATTCAACTCTGTGCGTGCGATTCGAAGAAAAATGCGAGTGCACCGGTAAGTCTTCCTTGAATAAACTGATCTTGAATTGTCGGAAATGGAAGCGTGCTTAGTTAGGTCTGGACTAATGCAAATATGTAGCATCGATTTCAAATTGCACCAGTCCCGGCCTGATTGAGCGTGCGAAAAACAACGTGTCGCTTTTGTCAACGGTACATGAAGAGATTCTAGGTAGGTTTATCATAGTGCGATATTTTTATACAGAAAATATATAAACGTTTCGCAAGATAAACGTAATACGTCCTGGCGTATTTTTAAAATGGAAATTGAGTAAGGAGATTGGATCTTGCTATTGTATGCTTATTGTAACACGGCAAGAAGTCGATTAGAACCATGAGTCCCTGTGATTGAAGAAGCCGCTGCTCTTTGTCCGGTGCCGGGACAAAAGAAAAATTCGATCTCCGGCGATAGTTGTCACATACTAACTACACTTCGTATACAAGGGAATGCGCATCCGCTCATACATTGAAAAGCTGTTGGAATAAGGGCGTGTGTATTTCTTACTCTATGTGTCGTGTACGTTGTATACATATATATATATATATATATATATATATATCGTCCTAGGTTGATAAGCGCTTTCCTGTGAAACAATAATAGAACAAATAATTTGAATTGCTGCAACAGTATGTTATATTATATTTCCGGATGTTATTAATTTTAGATAAGACCATTTATTTCGAATGATAATGATTATTACACGTTGAAACTATCACAAGCTACTAATCTGGCATTTTTGATATAGCGCTCATTTATTTTACACTTAATAATAAATTTGTTGTATTGTTTGTTTTTAGCGAGGATAAGTTTCTCGAGATACTCACGATTCTCAAATCGAATCCTAGTATTGCTCAGAAGCTGCACAAAGCTATGATAAAGGAATTGTACAACAGTATGAACGATGACTTAGAGGATATATTAAAGGAAGGCAATTTGCAAGAAACTTTTACAAAAATAACCAAACTATCCGAAGAAAACATAATGTCCACTAACAAAGATGCATGGTACTTATTAGAAAATAATTTTATAATTGTATAATGTATAACTTCTTATTTGAGAGTCATCGTCCTGATTGCAGGCGTCCACCGGGGGATGTAATCTTACATTTGAGGTCGCTGGGTGCGCACAAGATCAAAGAAGCGACCGAGGAATTGGAAAAACAAGTGAACAAGATGGAAAGGGAGAATGTAACTTTAATGAAGACAATCGCGGAAAATAGATCAAGGATACAAGCCACGAATGACAATGTGGTGAGAATTTTGAATCGCGCACCAGTTATCCTGCAACGATTAGAAGACACGTGCGAACAGCTAACGATCTGTCTTAAAACAATCGAAAATGAATAATTTCAAGAGGAAAATTTTTAGAAGTACGCTGTATATAATTTGTGTATATATATATATATATATATATATATATGTGTGTGTATATGTATATAT